GGTGTTCCTAATAATCCTTTAGGTGAGTGTATATTTCAACATTACAGTGATCCCCTGCTATACGTGGTTTAGCTATCGCGCCCCTGCTAGGCTATATCGTGGATTTTTCCCTTATCCGTCACAGTTCTCTGCGTATCGCGTATCTTGCTTGTGGTCCGATTGTTTTTTTAGCCCTACGATGGCTCCCAAGCGTCCTGCATCTTCTAAGCCTTCTGGTAGTAGTGAGCCTAAGCGCCAGAGGAAGACCATGACCATTCAGGAGAAGGTAAAACTGGATATACTGGATAGCTCTGGAACCAATTGAGAGCCATTATGGCTTGAGTGAATCGACGGTACGATACATCAAGAAGGATGAACATAATATGAGCCACTGCATCACTCTCCTTTAGTCAGACAGGAAAGAGGGTGGCATGACCTCAGAATAAAGCCATCGTTAAAATGGAATCACATACGTATACATATTATTATTATTGTTATTATTATTATTATTAGTTTTATGTTACTCATATCCTTAGTCCGACATCCACATATCACATGTGTTTAAAGTGTTTTAAGGCTTAAACTATAAAAAAAATGTTTATATGGTCTTTCTATATCGCAGATTTTCACCTATCTGATGGGTGTGGAACGTAACTTCTACAATAAGCGGGGAATCACTGCATGTACTCCCATTTTCCACAACATATCTGTGTGAGCTTAGTTTTTCAAGCCTGACTCATATAAAAACTAAAAACAAAGAGAGACTGAGAGCTGTTGAGGAAGAGCTTCATGTGTCTGTCTTCAATTTATGCCAGGATATCAGCTTTGTGTTCAACCAAACAGGCTCAGGTTTCACACTGAGTGAGTATAAATAAATTGAGAGACTATTTTGTCATTACTAGGCTACAGAGTGTCATTTTGTAACATTTTTGGTTAGTGGTGTACCGTGGGATTTTTTTCAATGTAAAGAAAGAGAGTTGGCTTGGCAAAAAATAACGGACAGAGTAAATGCGTGTGTATTAAATTGCAAATTTGACATCGCCTCCCCTTTTATTATAATGCAAAATAATTAAACACGTACCCCTTCCGCATCCTTTTGACTGTTAAATCACTATGAAAGCATTTACTTTTCCTGCCATTCATTTCTTTAGGTTAAAATAACAATGTGTATCGACTAGGAATATATGGTTTCTTATTTAATAAGGTCTTAACTTTGAGCCAAGTCAAAATGAAACACAAAAACATTCCGCAAAAAGGTAATATTTGATTACACGATCACTGAACTATTTATTAAACACGATTTAGTATATTCTTTCTGTCATGTAGCTAATAGAAAAAAGGCTGAAGCCCGTCTAACTGGCAGGGGCCCACCACCACTTCCCCTCACCCCATCTGAGGGCAACCAGTGGTAACCAGCATTGTACTGTCCTGTAATGATTACCTATAGTTAGTGGAAAAAAGTAATGAGTTTGATGATTTTAACAAGGCAAAAAATTAAGGATACAAAATCAAGTTACCTGCACATTGATACTATGAATAGATTTCCTATTAACATAGTCTCCCTCATTTATTGAAGGAGCTTTAATAGGAATGTAGGTGCCATCAATGCACCCAATTATGAATGAATGAATGTCCACAGGATCGTCATCAAAAGGGCACGCCATGCTCAGTAACCTTCTGCAACAAAATGACCCTGGAACATAACCTGCTCAGTAGCAGGTTATCTTCAGAGAGTAAGCTGCTATGGTTACGTACATACCCAGAAAGTTAACCTCCGTTTTTGGAACCGAAAGATGAGGTTAACCACTAACTTACCCTTAAACTTACCCCGGTATGTCACATAACCTGCTTTCTGGAATACCCCCCTGGTGTGTACTGGAATATGCGTTTCCTCAGTTTTTTGTATACACTTAATTTGTTTTGGTGTATAGTGTAATAATGTACGTTGTAATGAATCACAACACACCCAGCGTCTAAGGTCTTTTGACCAGCAGGTGACTCTAGTGAGCATTCGAAGCCTCGATAAATGAACCAATATTTAACACGATTGGCTGGAAAACCTCAGTGCAAGAAGCTTCATCTAGTAATTACCTGCTTTCCCCTTTGAATCATAGTGTATTTCTTTTCTAGGTTAATTTATAACCATTCCCAATCAGTAATTAGGTTCTGCACCTGGGCCCTACCTCAGGAACTGCTGTCAATTAAGTGGAACTGAAATATTTTGTGACGGTCAGGGAAAGTTCCAGTCAGGAAGCATTTGGTGGTGACACTGAGCGCCCTTTCCAGTAAGTTCTACTGGGTGCTGATATAAAACTCCGGGCGCATCAACGAGTGTTCTGGAAATCTTTTGGGGGAGAACGGAGAGTGCGAGCCGACTACATTGCGGACATTGCCCCGTGTCAAAACTGGGGAAAGTTTTAACGATCGTTGGTGTCTCTCAAATAAGCAGATTTTTGGATAGATAGGCAGGTCCGTTAGGATAGTCGTCTGTTTCGCTGACTCCGTAGTTTATTTGAGAGGTTAACATTGTAGCTCACATTGTGACTACCGGCGCTGTCATGGCTAAATGGGGAGAAGGGGATCCACGCTGGATCGTGGAGGAGAGAGCTGACGCCACCAACGTCAACAACTGGCACTGGTAAGGTGCGGAATCGCAGGGCACAGCGTAATTGAAGCCAGGCCAGGACGGCACGCTGATCGGCGTCAATGTCACTTTAGGTCGGAACACTGTGGGTCGTGTGGGCGGCCCAAAGCAGTCGCGACGCTCCACCTTATGAATCTTCGTGATGCACATGGTGCCGGCGAGAGAGGCACTCCGCGCTGCTAGTGAACTGTGGATGATCGGATATATAACATACACTGGGCATTTAACGTCTTATTTCGCCAAATGTAATTTCATTAATCTACTGAAACTAATGGAAATGACAACATTCACACGCCTCTGTGTTAATTAATGTGGCATGGAAGAATGTGCCTCGGTATTTTAAAGTGACTTTAGTACAGGTGTGTGCGATACATTGAAGGTAACCTCCGTGTATGAAGTCCTTTGACTGGACGGATTGTATTAACGATTGATTCCAGTTTACAAAATGCCACATTTGGACATTAAGAATTTAAGGAGGTCGGTGAGTAAAAACATAAATGACTGGACCTGCGTGACTTCCAAGAGTAATGTCGTAGAGCGGCGCAGTTCTCTTGTTGCAAGAAAGACGCAGAGAACACTGTGTAGTGGTTATATGATATATTTCAAGCTTCAGACCCGCCCAGAGACTCATTTGAATGGGCTACAGAGGCTATTTCCGGAGCTCACAAGGCAGAGGACAGCAGCCTTTACGGGGGCTGGGGGAACTGGCTGTTTTTGTACCATATAGGGCACAGGTGTCAAACTCCAGTGCTGAAAGGCCGGAGCCCTGCACATTTTTGGGTTTCCCCTCATTTAACACACCTGATTCAACTCCTTGTACTAATTACCACACTTGAGCTGACTCATTTGTGGTGGAACAGGGAAAGAACTAATCTACACAGGGCTCTGGCCCTCCAGGACTGCAGTTTGACACCCCTAGGTAAAGGAAATGGAACAGAATTCATACAGGTATCAATGTTAAAATACCAAATACAATTTCCAGTTTTAATCTGGTCTCCTTGTTTGGAAGCATAATAAAAAAACAAATGTAATATTTAAATGTAGATAGAAAATAAATGTCATCTTTGCTAGTCGCCAAGGCAGAATCTTAAGACATTTCTAATACACTTGTGCTGACTTTGCATACTGGCCAGGAGGAGCTCATGAGTTCCTCTCCTTCATCCTTCTAACTGTCTAAATGCAGGACTGAGCGGGATGTGACCTCCTGGTCCTCAGACAAGCTGAAAGAGCTGCTCATCGGAGTCTGCGTGGTGAGCAAGGAGGGGAGCTGCGAGATTGTGGAAGTGAGCAAACTGGAGGGCGAGGCATCCATCAACAACCGCAAAGGCAAGCTTATCTACTTCTATGAGTGGGACGTGAAGGCCAAGTGGACAGGTGAGTTACAATGGTTTGTGTTCTGTAAGCTTGTTTGGGTGAATTTCATAAATGCCCATAAATGTTCAAACAATTTAATAAAAATACAGCTAAACTGTCCAGTGGGACTATTGAATACATTTAACCTGTGAAGCACTGGATGTTGAACTTTGGTGTTTTGTTCTGGTGTTTCTCTAGCTTTCAGCTTTAATTGACTTCCCCTTATGGTCTTCCAGTGCGACTCTTTATGTCATCTGTTCACAGTTCTGTAGCTAGGTGACTGTGCATTTCACTGCACATTGTACTGAGTATAACAAATAAAAAATTAAATTTGGGATATCCCAGTGCCAACAAGGGGATGCTTGTTACATATGATCTCAGAGCCCTCACTGAAATGTTGTTTCTCAGGAACATCAACTACTGGAATCGTATATAAAGGAAACATAGAAATTCCCAACCTGTCTGATGAGAATGACATGGATGACATAGATGTAAGTATTTTAAGGAGGAAACAATATTTGTTCATTGTACATGTACATAGAAATTCTTTAGTTGGGTTATTCCATGTCAAATCATCACACTTTCGGACCTCATCGTCACGGATTTTAACGAAACTTGGTATGCTGATTTGGTCACATGAGTAACTCATGAAACTGAAATTGGGCATGTCTTGAATCAATATTGAGGGAGATTTAAGCGAACAAAGTTTGAACTTTTTTTTTGGGGGGGGCTATGACTTTAGCTGGCTATATTTACCTTAATATAAGCTGCACAGAAATTGTCCTCATACAGGTTTGTTTGTTATTCAATTTTTTATATTTTAATCAGTTATTACATGGTAATTATTCCTATGGGGATGACATATTTATGCAATCTATAGAGCTGGACAGTAGCTTTAAAACAATGAGGACCATCTCATATGGGGGATTTAATCAATGACCCTCTGATCACAGGATGCAATGAATGGGGTGTGTGGCAGCTGTCAGTGTGTATATGAACTCTGACTACTGTGCCATTTACTACTTCTGGCAGGTCAGTGTGTCACTTTGTAAGGATGAGCCTGACACCCCCCTGTTAACCCTGATGAAGAAGGATGGGGTAAACAAAATAAGGACCGTGCTGGGGGGCTATGTGGGATACCTGAAAACAGGTGAGCCTGGCACCTTTATGCTTTGTAATATGAAGATCATTACTATAGTACTACAAGCAGTGTTGGGGTTGTTACACAAAAAAGGAATTATGTTGCCAATTCGTTAAATTGTACTGGGATTACTTTACTCATTCCTCCTTTTGAAAAGTAATTACACTACTCATTACTTCACTTTTGAGTTGCTCTCTAAAACTACAAATTCCTCCAATTTGCTCCATAAAAATATAAGAACAAATATAGTCGTTTCATTACTTTTATTTTCAATACTTTGTTCTTGCCTGTTGTCTTATCAGGTGCTTAGACAGGTTGCCCATGTTATTGACAGTGGTAGAAAGGTGTTTCTGACCTGGGCATAGCTTATGTTTTACAGTAATATTCTTGTCTTTTCGTGGAGTAAATTTGAAAATGATGAATATCTCCACTTACTGAAGCACTCTCTCTTCCATCAGGTTTTTTAATTTATTTTCTGATCTAGAAACATCTGTAATTAAAATTGATCAGAACACATGCCCTTTGCATCTTCCAGTTCTAAAATAGATGTTAACTGTGATAATCAGTTTGTATAGACCAATTTACACGCAGGACTGCAATTACCTATTTTACAAGTTAAATTTAAATATTCGTCATGAAAAACATTCTTTTGAAAAGTAATGCAGGAAAGAATTTAATAATCCAGTAACTGTAATGTGATTACTGAAATTTCACTGTAATGCTTTACTTTATTTCTTTCCACCATAACGAAGTAATTGCAATAACACATTACATTGTAACTCATGACCCCCAAAACTGGTTAAAAGTCATGTGACTCACAACCAATCGCTGATATGGAGAATGAGATTAATGAAATCTTCTCAGAGTTCACCCAGGGCATGATCCTCCCCACGACCAATGGCATGAACAAGCAGCAGCAGCAGACACCCCAGTCCAAGGGTAACACTCAGAATTTACAGGTGGGTGTGCATGGGCCGCGCAGGCAGAACTCTGGTCACGTGGGGTTTGGTGAAATGGGATTGGCTGCCTGGCTGGATTGGTGGGCTGTCTAAAACATAGCTCCAGTTGTTGTTGTTATAATGGGAAAATTGCACAGACAGGTATCTGTAGATAAAGTATTTGGTACTGGATGAGAATTCAGTATATGCTGGCCATGGCTATTTAAACATCCTCATTGGAAAATAGTATCACTAACTGTATGGCATGGTTAATATATAGCTACCTGTAACATGGGTGTCTGCTCAGCTCTGCTTTTGTAGAATGTATGGTTGTTATGGGGTCTTTCTTTTCAGTTGGTGCTGTGTTGCCCTGGTGCACATGTGGGAGGGGCTTATGTAGATAGGTTGAAACCACTCTGTCACAAAGTTGCCAGCTATATCCTGCTGCTTCAGGAGCCACGAATCATGTAGCTCAGATTCTGGAGGGTTTGTTCTTTAGGACCGCATTTGATGTGTCATCAAATTGGTTTCCTCTGGCTGGATGGTTTACATGCATGCAAGTTTAGATGTTGATACAGGAGGAAAGGATACTCTTTGGGTTAGTAGATAAAGGCACAATGTTTCTCAAGACCCCTGTTTCTCCCTACAGCCAGGAGCTGTCAGCTCCACCCCTTCACCTAGCACTGGCATAAAGATTCCTACTTGCAAATTCTGTCTGAAGGAAACGTTTCTCACCTCACCAGAGGAACTCTACAGAGTCTTTCTCAATGAGGAGGTGAGCACAGATGTCTGTCTACCTTCAGCAGACTAATGCTATGTTCACACTGCACGACTTTTAAAGTCATCAGAATGCTATACTGTTCACACTCCACAACTTGTCATCTTGTAATCAGGAATCTTGAAGTCGTTGTGGTTTACACACTACACAACTGATCAGCAACAGGGGGTCACATGCTACAAGATCTTTAACCGGAGGAATCGCTGATGAGTCTGTCTGGTATCAAAGCTATGTTTTGTCATGAAATCACACACAAGAATGACCCCAGAAAATTAAAATTCTTGTCAACTCGATACACGTATACTGGATATTTACAAACGTGGTAAATTAACACCTGTATACATAGAACTTTCAGGAAACAGTATCTCATACCTTTGGTCTTCAATGATCCGACATATAATATAGCCTAATATAATATCCCTGAACAATAACTGTACGTTCACACCGTGGGCTGTGAGAGTGTCAGTGTTCACTCTGGCTGCCCTATGCATTACTCTAGCAAATGCTGGGAACGCTCTCTGATGTAGATGTAGTAGGTGGGACAAAGTTGTTCACAATGCTGGGTCTTGGAAACTTGTTAAAGTGGCTGCAAAGCAAACAAACGTAGCTTATCTTTGTGCTAACTGCCGATAGGATGTCATTTGTCAAAGCACATGTAATTAAGATGATAGAATAAGTAACATAAAAATTACTGACCATTTGTATTGTTTTGCATGGCACAAAAAGTAGTATGTGATATCCTTCTTTTTTCCCCCACCAAAAATATTATGCACTTCACCAATTGATCACCACCATCTGGATCACCAATAATTTCAAACATCTTGGTCTATGCTTCATTATTTTTGTCTCTGTATCAAACTCACTTTAATGATATTGGTGAAACGTGCCAGTAAAAAATACATGAATGTAAAATAATGCATGTAAGAATGTGCATTCAATAGTCTAGATAAGCTAGATGTGTTAATGACAATGTATAATAAACAGGGTTCCCGCGGGGTCTTAAAAAGTCTAAAATTCATAGTTAAATTTAAGGCAGATTTTCATCCTAGGTCTTAAATTTAATTTACCCAAGTCTTTAAATTCTTACCTCCGTTCATTCCCAAAAAGCGTTGTCCGCAGAAAATAAAATAGTAAAACGTTGTAAAACGGTAATCCGTTGGTTGTGTTTTCTGATCTGCACCGGTGTCTGCGTGGTAATAAAACTACAAATCCCATTGCGTGATCACTGCAGCTAGGCAACCATCTAGTTTGAGAAGGGTCTGGCTGCAGAATGTGCACTTTCAACCACTGACATCAGGTGCACGCTCAGCCACAACAGGAAGTGCAGGGGAATCAAGTGCTAACTTAGTTCTTGAGGTCAATGTGAATGGTATGTTGTTTTATTATTTGTATTACTGAATGATATAGTTACAAGTTTTTTTCATGCGTTACATTATTGCAATGTAAATGTTTTGATGTAGTGCGTTAGTAACTTTTTTTTTCTCTGATAACTGAAAAAATTCACTCCAGTCAAAAGGCAACTACTAGCCAGTTGGCTCATGTTATCTTATCATAAAATGAACACATTTCTACTTTTACAGAGCTTTTCATGGAGTTATCTTGTGAATGTCTTAGTTTCCAGCATATAGTTTTTAGTTGTTCATGTGGTCTTGAGGAAAACATTTCTCTGTCAACTTATGGTATGGCAAGTTTTTATTATCATACACAGGGGTTATTTAATGTGCTTTATAAAAACATGATTTAAAAAGTTAAACCAACACAAAAAAAAGCAAAATAGAGATGAAGAAAAAAAACTTATTTGAATAAAAATTGCTTAGAAAATCAAAAAAATCTGATTAAAAGTGCAGTATGTCCTGCCCCGCTGGTCTGCTCCTCCCGTGTGCCACGCCCCCTCGTTAACCCCATGTGGATTCCCCGTGTTTATCAGCTGTTTCCAGTTGTTTTCATTATCGCTGATGGGTCTGGAACGTAACTTCCGCGATAGGTGGGGGATCACTATATATTTTAAGGCATAAATATTTTTTATTTTTTATTTTTTTTAGTTTAAGCCTTAAAATACCACTCCCACGTGCTTTAAACACATGTGAACTTATTAAAACGCACTTTGTAAACATATATATGTGGATGTTGGGCTAAGGATATGAGTGACATAAAATATGAGAATTTCTGGTATCATTTGAATGTTTCAAGTAATGCATAGTGTTGGTCTTAGAAGGTCTTAAAAAGGTCTTAAATTTAACTTACTGAAACGTGCAAGAACCCTGAATAAAACTATATAAACAACAGTTATTTTGGGCAGTCTGGGGCTTGAATTCTATCTTTGACTACTTTTGGTCCTTTTTCTTCACTTGCTCCAAGTCAGACATTGATTCAGTGTATGAGACAAAATAATGAACCTCTTAGTTGAAATTTTCACAATTTTAATATCAGTCTCTATGATTAAAAGACCAAGTTATCATATGGCAAAACATATAATGCATTGCAGACTGAAACCTTTGCCCTTGAATAGAAAATTATTAGCTTAGGTATATCCTAGTGCTGAATGACCTTTTTAAACACATACATCTATACTGTGCTGGCGGCGGTGTTAATTTTGTTGACGAACAAATCGTCAACGCCCCTTTATTTTCAGACTAAAACGAGACTCTAAATAAATATTTTGTGACGCCTAAGACTATGACTAAGTGTATTGACAATTTCGTAAACAAATAAAAACGAGACGAAAATGTTTGGCAGAGACGAGATCCAGTCAGAACTAACAGAGTTCGCCTAAGGCAGGGATCAGTCTTGAAGCAAAGGTCTGGAAGATCATAATGTCTAACTATTTAGTGTGGTATATATTTAACTAGCCTATTAGTTGTATCAACATCTACTAAATCAAGGTAGGGCTGCAGTTCAAAATAAGAGAAAATGAATAAAATGTGAAAATTGTGCATGTTTAAATAAGTTAAGCACTTTAAGCCGTAAAACCCTAATACAGTCGTGTCTATGTCATATATTTTAGTGTTCATGGATTTAAGTACTGGTTTTCTATAATCCCACACCGGTAGTAAAATTAAAGTCTCGTTTTAATATAAATACATACAAACTTATCTACGGTGGCCGAGAGAGCTCAACGCGCTGCAACTTCAGAAAACACATGCAAACAGAAAAAAACCACAACAAATTAAGAAAATGTCTCCATCAGTTTGACAACACAGGCGCTGCAAATACGGAAACGCGCTGCAAACACAAAAAACGCGCTGCAAATAGCAGACCACAACGGAAATGTTTCAGGGGGACCTCAAAAAGTGACTAACCCATCTGGGAGCTGATTATTTGTTCAATATGACGTTTTTCTCACTCGTTTTATATTTGTTGGAGTAACAACGCAAATGGATGAGCCGTTATAGGTGAAAACAGTGCATTTTACTTTTTATTCCAAATAAAAACGTGGGGTTGCCAACTTTGGCCAGCTGGCTGGAGTGAGATTTTCAATTCGAGATGCCTGCACACCTGTAACAGTTCTTACCTTGTAAATTGTCTGCTTCTGTATTTAACCATGTAAATACACTTTGGACGTAGCTAATTTTAGGTTTATAATGGTATAATATAGATTTTCCGTAAGATTTCCTGCGTGTGTCTGAAAGCGTGAGCATCATACCAGAAGCTTAAAATTTGGCAATCCTGAAAATGTGCATTTTTTGTTTCACCTGAGTTGATTTATATAACGAATAACATTAATTTATACAGTTGTTAAAAATCGGACACTTCAACAAACATGAAATCACCAATAAACTATGTCTACAAATATTTTTTTAATATTTCTATTTTAATATTCAGAGAGAGCCTGGTCTCTCTGGCCTGGTGGCATTATAGCCTATGCGCTTTGAAGTGATTTTATTTTTGCACTAATGGCACTACTGATTTTAAAGTACTCAGTTTCCGGGTATCCATCCATCCATCCATTTTCTCCCGCTTATCCG